AAGCTCACTGCAGCTGCTGTGTGAGAAATGGATGAGATACAACAGAATGAGGCAAGGAGACAAGTCAGGGGATTGTGGCTGGAATCGGTGCCAGAAACTGTGAACCAATCCAGCTTCACTGTGGGGCTACCGAGTTACCTGCGGGAAAGCAGAGTCACTGAGTAGGTCAACACAGACGGTCCAATCAGGGGATCTATCCGTCTTTCCAATAAGCTCCGACCCATTTACTTTCCCTCAGTTCTCATCTCGACTGGGCTAGAAAGCCTCTGAGGGAAAAGATCATGCCTGTTTATCTGCCTAGGGTAGAGAAACAATAGCTAGCCCATAACAGATACTTGATAAAGGTCTGTTGAATACAAGTGTACGGGGAAGCTAAGAAAACCCGTGTATTGAGGGTCCAATATGAGACACACAAGCAGGAAAAAAGTGAAGGCAGAATATGCCACCCCCCAAAAAAAAGGCAACACAAGCAATATTAAAAGGGGTCTAGTGGGGCGCCTGGGTGGCGCAGTCGGTTAAGCGTCCGACTTCAGCCAGGTCACGATCTCACGGTCCGTGAGTTCGAGCCCCGCGTCAGGCTCTGGGCTGATGGCTCGGAGCCTGAAGCCTGTTTCCGATTCTGTGTCTCCCTCTCTCTCTGCCCCTCCCCCGTTCATGCTCTGTCTCTCTCTGTCCGAAAAATAAATAAACGTTGAAAAAAAAAATTAAAAAAAAAAAAGGAGTCTAGTTTTCCACATCACTTTCAGCTTTGCTCAAAATTCTACTACACTTAGACACTTCGCAGAAAATAAGAAAGACGATAAGTTCATGGGCTTAATGGGCACTTGAGGGAGGAGTGAAAACTTGAAAGACAATGAAAGAAACCACGCGTGTATAGGCAGAATACATAATATTTCAGAAATACCTAAAACCACATGAATTAAACGAAGAGGACTTAGAAGAGAAAATGCATAATCGGCTCCTGCTTCCAAAAGTGGGCTGAGATAGCAGAGGCCCAGTTCTGTCACTGTCAGTAGTGAGGAGTAATGTTAAAATCAATGATGAGACTGTCCCTGATAAAAGTGGGGCTAAGACTATAGAACCGTCCAGTGGGTTGTGACCACCCTCTTCCCGGAAGGAAGCACAGGGCTGGGAAGGTCCCAGTAACAAAGACCAGTCAAGGAAGACCATCTCGAAGGATGGGTAAAATCTGGGGGGGGCGGGTTAGGAGAGGATGGAGAGCAGGAGATATTAAAGGAGCGCCCGACGTTAGAAGACATCATGTTGGACACGTTATGCATTCTTA